CTGCTGGAGCCACTGGAGGCCCCAGCTGGATGGGGAGGCCGTCAGGGGCCGCTGGGGAGGCTCACACAGAGGGAGCCTGTTGCTGAGCCTGCCAGCTGGTGGACTCCTCCCCGCAGTGGGTTTGGAGAGAGAGAGAGGGGTGTGGACGGTGTCCCCAAGCCCCCAGCATGCCACCCCTACGGTCAGGATTCTCCATGGCAGCAGGAGGTGTCTGGGGAGGGGCGTGCTGTGAGACCCCGGACCCCGCTGTCACAGGCAATGGCTGGGGTGAGCACAGGGGTCTCTTGGAGGGACCCTAAGAACCAACCCCAGGCACAGGGTTCTCCCTGAGGCTCTGGTCTCCGGAGGGCAGCTCTGCAGGCCCAGAGGGTTTGCGCCTGGGTCACGAGGCCGGGGGAGATGCCCATCTAGGGTGGGGGCTGCTAGGGATGGCCCTGTGCCACCAGCGGGGGGGGCTCCCAGGAGGAGTGGGGGCTGAGGTCCTGAGGGGTGTGGCCCACAGAGGAGCTCCTCCAGAGTGCCTGGGGCAGAGCCCTTCCAGTAGGTCCGCAGGGAGTGGCGTCCAGAGCCAGGTGTCCCTGCCTGCAGAGGGTACCGCAGAGCCCACCCCGGCCTCCCCGACCTCCCCTGCCTGCCCGGCCTCCCAGCTGCACTCCCAGAGGTCTTCCCGCTGACCCGCCCGGCCACTGCTGGTGCCTCTGAAGAGCAGAGACCCGCTCGTCCCTCGGGAAGTGCCCCGGGTTTGAGGGGCTCCGTGCCAGGCCCCAGGACAGAGAGCAGGTGTCTGTCTTTCCGGGTCGCCTGGCTTCGTCTGTGTGGAGCCTGTGTTCGGGACCCCCGTCCCCCCACCCCCAGCTGATGGCTCTGAGGTGGTCCCCCTGCTGGCTTCTAGCGCGCTGCCTTTGCGGGGAGCCCCCGGGGCCCCTCCACCCTGGAGCTCACCCCTCGTCAGGAGAGCGGCCGTCGTGAGATGCGAGAATGGTCCGTGTCCCTCATGATCTTGAAGACTCCCGTGGCTCTTACATCTGCAGGGATCTGGGCCTCTGTGTTTCGAGTCACTGTGTGTGCGCGCGTGCCCGCGTGTGCCCGCGTGTGCCGGTGGCCTGTGCCTGGTGGCGCTCTGAGGAAGGAGAGTCTGAGCATCCACGGGGCAGTAGGTGGGCTCTGGTGCCCCGTGGGTGTGGACCCCAGGAGGCTCCCGGGGGAGTGGGGAGAGCGCCGGGAGCGTGCGGGGCGTGCGGGGGGCTGTGGCTGTGGCTGTGGCGTTCTGCCCTTCACTTTTTACCAGAGAACCGGGTGTTTGTTGCAAAAGTCCTGGCCCGGCTGATGACCGCGTCCTGCCGGGTTCTGCTCCATCCGGCCCTCCAGGCAGCTCCAGACCGGCCGTGCCGCCTCCGCTCCCAGGGCCCCCGCAGCCTGTGGGACCCCTCCCGAGGGCAGCTGCCGCCGTCCCCTCCTCCATTCCTTTTTCACGACGACATTCAGCCGCAGCCACTCTGGGGAAGCCGGTCTGGCCGCCTCTGTCTCGGTCAGCGGAGGAGACTGACTAGAAAGAAGCGGGCGTTCGGGGAAACGTGGACAGAGGCGCTGCCACTGGGCTGGCAGCGCGGGCTAGAGCCCGGGGAGCGCTGGTGGCCCCGCGTGCGGGCTGGGGGCTTCCGGGACGCGGGCAGCTGCTCCTCCGATGGCTTCGGTACGATGTCGGGGCGGCAACGGCGCGCCCGCCGCGCACCCAGGACACCGGCCGCACGTGTCCGCCGACGCTCGCCTCTCAGCGCTCAGAGACGGACGCGCGCGGTGCCCCGCGGCCCCTGTCACGGACCCGAGCCCACGACGCTCGGGGAGGGAACCAGACACAGAAGGCCTCACGGGGTGTGAGTCCACGCGTGTGTCACGCCCAGACCAGGCTCCTCCATGGACGGGAAGGGGGCTCAGTGGGGATGACTGATGGGGTTGGGGTTGCTTTTTGGGGAGATGGAAGGTTCTGGGATGAGATCATGGTAATGGTTGGATAACTCTATTAAAGACCACTGAACTGTGTGCTTTTTTATTCTTTTTATTTTTTAGATTTTTTTTTTTTAATTTTTAAAGATTTTATTTGACAGAGATCACAAGCAGGCAGAGAAGCAGGCAGAGAGAGTGGGTGGGAGCAGGCTCCTCACGGACCAGAGAGCCCGATGCGGGGCTCGATCCAGGACCTTGGGATCATGACCTGAGCCGAAGGCAGAGGCTTTAACCCACTGAGCTCCCCAGGCATCCCCAACTGTGCGCTTTTCAAGGGTGACCAGTATGGGATGTGGGTCATATCCGTGATATGGGTGATGGTAGAGCAAGGACCGAGAGACGGGAGGTGCCGTCTGCCCCCTCATGGGGAGAGAGGTGCTGTCCAGCTCCTTCCGTGTGGTTCCAATGCCCCCATGGTGTGCCTGGGGCGGGTCTGGCTCAGGCCAGGAGGAGGACGGAGCCCATCGAGGGCTTTGTTGTTGTTTTTACAGGAAATAAGTATTTTTTAACGTATAATGTATTACTGGTTTCAGAGATACAGGTGTGTGATTTACCCGTCCTACACAGTTCACAGCGCTCCCCACAGCACCTGCCCTCCCCGATGCCCATCCCCCAGGTGCCCCATCGCCCCCCAACCCCCTCCCCTCCAGCAGCTCTCAGTTTGTTTTCTGAGGTTAAGAGTTTCTTACAGTTTGTCTCCCTGTCTAGTTTTATCTTAGTTTCATTTTCTCCCGTTGCCCCTGTGCTCCTGTCTTGTTTCTACGATGCTCATATCCGTGATGTCCTGTGACAATTGTCTTCCTCTGATTTCGCTCAGTGTAACCGGCTCTAGTTCTGTCCACGTCATTGCAAATGGCAAGATTTCGTCCTTTCCGATGACGGCGTGATATTCGTGTGTACCTGGACCACATCTGCACCCATTCATCTGTTGGGGGACATCTGGGCTTTTGCCACAGTTTGGCTCCTGTGGACGCTGGGGGACAGGCCGAGGGCAGCGTTCATAGCAGACTTGGGGCGACGGTGTCTGTGGTGGAGGCCGGGTGCACTCGGGGGGCTCCTGCGGGGTCTCCAAGCGCCCCCGACGGAAAGGGGCCGGCTCTGCCAGTCTCACATGGCCGTGTTCCCTCCTCAGGGAGCCCAGCCACTGTCCCCAAGACCCCACGCCCCTTGCATGTTCTAGGCTCTGCCCAGGGGTATGTGGGACACCACTGATGGAGCAGAGACTGGGGACCCCCGCACGCCCCCTTCTTCGTGTTGGGCCCTGTTGCTGACCGACAGGCCCAGCACACCTCGCTGGCTCTGGCCCCCAGGCCCTGCTTGAGGGATGGTTCCCAAAGCGGGCGGGGCTTTGCCTGCGCCTGCCGGACCCGCCTGAGGTCCTTCCGGCTCGAGCAGAGGGACAGAGCGAGGCCCCGCCCAGGCTCCCAGGGCAGCTCGCCTTTCTGGGTGATGTGGGCGTGCACGCGTGTGTGCAAGCCTGGAAGGGGGGGTGTGTGTGCCACAGCCCTGGGCCATCACCCCTCCCTGAGCACGCGGCCCGGGGATCCCCTCCATGGGACCCCTGCCTGCTCTGAGCCAGCTGCACCCAGGACTCTGGGTCTGGCCTGGTCCGCGGAGCAAGGGTCCTGGCCCCCCGCCCCCCCGGGGGAGGCAGCACCATCTGTGCCGCTGGTGCCCCCTGCCCGGGAGAGCTGGCAGCAGCACTGGCCGCGGGGAAGCCGCCTGCCCTCACGGTGTTCCCGCCTGCCAGCCCCTGCCCGCTCAGTTAAAAACCCGCTGCCTCCCTCCACGGTGAGCTCACCGTGCCCTGTTGCCTTGTTTCCTGTCACCTCGTCCTGTCAGCCACGTGCAGACATTATGGGCGGGTGTGGCAGGCCTTGAGTACTGGACGGGGACGGTGTGGGCTGGTAGCGGCCTCCGGCAGTGCACTCAGATTTATTTAATCAATTAGTTTGGAGAGGGGCCGAGGAGGGAGGGAGGGAGGGTGCGGGGAGAGCATGTCAAGCAGGCTCCGCGCCCAGGGCAGACGCCCGCAGGGGCCTCGCTCTCAGGAGCCTGGGATCACGACCTGGGCTGAAACCCAGCGTCCTCCTCACACTCCATCAGCCCCTGGAGGCGCCCGGGCACCCCGCCCTGACTTGAGAGGAGGACGTGTCGAGTGGCGGGGTTGGTGCTTTCTCTTTGAGGAGATCCTTCGGCTTTGGTGTGAGCGGTTGGCGGGGTTGGAGAGAGAGGCCTGGTCTGGCTGAGTCTGCCGGGTGGGCGCGGGTCCGGGAGGGCCTGGGGCCACGGCGCTGGAGGCCGCTGGCCGGGGTGGTTTCTGTGGGTACCTGTCCTCGCCATAGCCAGCTCGGGTGGCTGGCCCCTTCCTCCCTGTATCCTGGGGGCTGCTCGGTACCCACCCTTCCTTCTCAGCCCTCCAGGGCTCCCTGCAGTCCCTCCGGCCAAGGCTGGTCCCACTCCAGTGGCAGCTGCGGACCACGTGAAGCCTTGCCGGGGTCAAGGTTCCCTCCAGCCCTGCCTGACCACAGGCCACGGTTCTGTGCCGTGAGGCCCACATGCACAGCCCGGGGGGGGGGGCGGTGGGACGGCCCCGAGGCATCCGAGATCCGTGGTGAGGGTCTCTCAGCCTTGGGCACTCTCTGCTCTCTCTGCGCCCAGGCTTGGGGCTCCACAGCTGGCTTTGGGGTTCTGAGGCCTCAGTCACGTGACTGGCCACCCCCTCTGCCGGGGGCTCTGTCCTCGAGTCCTGGGGCAGGGGCCCCTCAACAGAGCCCATCCCCCACCAGCCCGGCCTGTGGCATTCACAGGGGCCTGAGTCACTGCACCCCTGTCCCCCAGAAAGTCGTGGGTCATGCTCGCACCTTCAGAAGTCTGCAGCGTGCTGGTTCACTGCCCAAGCCTCTCATGGTGCTACCCGTGGGTCCCCCCGCTGGTCTGGGACTGTGTCGTGGACACGCATGGCCTCCTGACCCCTGTCTTTGTTTCTCTACCAGCTGGGAGCTACGAGATTTGAGGCGGCGGGACCTGTCAACAGAATGTGTCCTCCCCCTGCATGCGACCCCGAGGCCACCGAGATGAGCGCCACGGCCGGGCCCTGGCAAGCGCCCGCGTCTCACTAGCAGGGAGCCCGCCGGGCCGCCATGGTGTACTAGCCCCGAAGAGCCGGCCGCAGCCTCAGGTCTGCCCGGACCCGGGATTTGCACGGCAGCAGAGTCACCGTGGAGAGGCCAGGGTACCACAAACTTATGGATTTTGACAAGAAAGGAGGGAAAGGGGAGTCGGAGGAGGGTCGGAGAATGTCTAAGGCCGGCGGCCGGACCAGCCACGGCGTCCGGAGCTCGGGGACCAGCTCAGGGGTCCTGATGGTGGGACCCAACTTCCGGGTCGGGAAGAAGATAGGCTGTGGCAACTTCGGGGAGCTCCGGCTAGGTGAGCCCCTCGCTTATGTTCTGGGGCACGGGAGGGGGAGGCTGCCGGACGGGGCTACGGCCCCCACTCCCAGATGACTTCAGATGGCTGGGACTGGGAATTCAGGTAAGTGTGAGATTCTGCTCCCCAAGCGGGAGGTTTTGCCGGAGGGGTGGAGCCCTAGCCTCAACCTGTGTTTCCCTGTCAGTCGGGGATTGTGTGCCCCCCGCCGTGCAGGGGGGACCCACATGGAAGTTTCTAGCTGGTGGGGACAGGGGCATTAGCCAGTGAGATGTGTGCTCAGCCCCCGCTGAGCCCTTGGCTGAGCCCTGGTGCCGCAGGCAGAGCCTGAGCCCTCCCCCAGCCGGCGGCCCTGGGAGCCTGCCGGGGTCCTGCGCAGAGCCAGAGGCACAGCACAGCTGCCCGAGGCGGCCGGCACTGGGCTTGGGCGGTGGCGTCTCGCAGCTTGTCTGCGGCTTTAGGAAGCCCTGGGCTCAGGGTCTGTGAGCGAGCAACTGTCGGGGGCTGGGGTCCGGTCTCTGGGTGCAGGTCGAGGGGGCGGGCGAGGCTGGTGCTGGGCTCGAGCAGCGGGTGCGGGTGTCACTCGGGCACGGAGGCTGCTGAGTTTGCGGCCGAGGGCAGAGGCAGCGGCGTCCGGCCCTCCTGACAGCCTGCAGCCAGTCCCGCAGCCGACCCAGACGGAGCCACCCTGTCCCCTTCCCGCTGCCCTGCTAGCGTGTGCACACCCGTGCTCGCACACACCAGGCCGGCCTGCAGCCTGGGGGCTACAAAGGCCTATCTTTGGGGTGTTGGGGTCAGCAGCCTACACAGTCTGGGTGTGCACAGACAAGTGACATGGTGCGTTGGGGCCGTGGGGTGCCGTAGTTTTGGGCTTCAAGCCTTTTTAAAATTGAGGGGCGTGGTGTTTTCTGCCGGGCTTCTGCCCGCATGGTTTTGCGTGTCCCCGCTGCTGCATGTGTAGCTAGCTGGTTGTCGGTCTTTGTGACCGCGCCCCGTTGTCCCCGTCCATCCTCCCGCTCAGGGACGTGCGGCTGCGCACAGATTTCCGCCACTGTGGTGCACGTGCTCCGTGCGCCCTCCCCAAGTCGAGCGCAGATGTTTAGTTAAAGCGCTGGGTTGCGGACGGGAAACTGCCAGACTGGCCCCGCAGGGAGGGCAACATTTCTAAACTCCCACGGGCAGCGTCCGAGGGCCCGGGAGTCCTGCGGCCCCGTCCGAGTTCAGGCTTGTCCGGCTTCTCTGCTGGAGCGCGCTCGGGGACGCCGGCTGGTCTCGTGGGCACTTCCCGATGATTCCTGCCCTCCCGTCCGTCGTGCGGCTTTTTCCAGGCAACTCGAAGGTTTTCTCTTTGCTTCTGGTTTCAGACCACGATTCTGCGTGGTTTAGGGCGGATTTCCGTGTGTCTGTCCCACGGGACTGAGCGCGCTGCAGACCTGTGTGACTCCTTTCCGTTGCATCGGAGCAGCTTTGGTCCTCTGTCCGGCTCGTTCCTGCCTTCGTCTTCCGGCCTTTTGCGTCCCCCGGCCGACGGCGCGCGAGGTGCTGGACGCTCTCCTGCGGGGCCCCCAGGCGGCGGGTGTTCCCACGGCCCGTGGCCTCCCTTTGCTTCGGTCCCGTTCGGTTTTGCTCGTCTATACGTTCACCTTCCGTCCCTCCGCCGCGTCTGGCCTGTTGTCGGAGCCGCTCGGGCTGAATCTTTCCTTCACGCTCGGCGTTTCTCACTTCTCTGGACGCCCCGTTTCCCCCTCGGAGTTTCCCATTTGCCTGTTCGTGTCACCCGTCTTGTCCTTTGAGTCTCACGCATCCTCGTGACTGTTAAACACTGAGCACCCAGCACCTCTGGCTCCGTTTTCCTCGTTACTGCCTCGCTCGCGGCGTCTCGCACCCCTGCACTGCCGTCTCCGCTGGAGTGGCGGGTGCCGCGTGGGGCGTCTGCGTGACACTTTGCCCCGGAGGCTCATCTTGACATCATCGGGGGCTGGCACTCCGCTGAGAGCAGACCTCACTCGGGCTGGAGTCACCTCTGTCCCATGGCGAGGGCGTCCTGGCTTCTTAGCCAGGGATCGGGGGAGCTCAGGGCGACCTCTGCACCTGGACGGCCGCCGCTGCAGCCTCCTGTGGCCCCCAGGATCTTCTGCTCGCCGCCCTCGGGAGCACCAGTGACTCCGCTGACATTGGGGCGGCCCTCTGAGCCCCAAGGACCTGACCGCCTCCAGCTGTGTGCGACTCCCCACTTCGGACACAAGTGGGTGCGTGTGCACACGCTCACCTTCAGCTCACTCTGGCCTTCGAGGACTTTGGCTCTCCCAGGGCTCACGCAGGCGGTCAGAACGCCTGTTTCTTCAGCAAGACCCAGTGATCAGTTACCGTAAGGGGTCAGAATCCCCAGAGCTGAAGACTTCCTGCTGTGAGGGGCGCGTGGCTGGCCCTGCTGCTTGAGCGTCTGGCTCTCGGTCTCCGCTTGGGTCGTGATCTCAGGGCTGTGGCGTCCGGCTCTGCGCTCCACGGCGGCTGCTGGGGACTCTTCTCCTGCTCCCTCCCCACACGTGCGCTTGCCTGCTTGCTCTGTCTTTGAAGTCTTTGGGAAGACCCCCTGTTTTCACGAGAAGCCGGTTAGGAGTGAGGACAGACAGGCCACAGACAGGTGGTGCTGCCGAGCGCTGTGACAGAGCCCCGGTGTCGCACACGTGTAAAAAGACGCCGTGAGTCCAGACGGGCAGGAGAGGGCCGCCCAGCCAGCTCGCCGGGGGGTGGGGGGGTGTGCGAGTCCTGATCCGGGGGCGTGAGCTGGAGCCCCGTTCTGCTGCTGGGAGGACGGAAAGAGACCACATTAGAAACGGGCAGCAGGTGTGGAGAGAGGCTCCCAGAAGCCCCCGTTGAGTCGCCATGGGGTGCAGAGGCACTCGGCCTTACCAGCCACGGGTGAAGGCGGCCACGTGAGTCGCACGCCACGTTTGCAGCTCGAGCAGCGGACCGGGCAGGGCGGCTCGGTGTGTTGGTGCCGTGCGGTGCGTGGGAGAGCGGCCTGGGGGCCAGCCGGCGTCCTCAGAGAAACACGGCAGGAGCTGGGAAGGGGGGACGGGCAGGGTGGTGCCCCCTCGGTCACTGCCTCAGGCGGGCTTCTGTGTCGATATGCAGCCGGCGGCATCCCACATCCGCCGGAGCTCGTCGCGTGGGCCTGGCGGGTGCGCACATCCCTGGGAAGTGCCTCCAGCGAAAACAGGCACCGCGAGTCCTGCTGAGCCCGGCTGTGCTCATCGGTGGGAGTACGGAGGGCGTTGCTGCTGCTTTGAAATGCTCTGCTCTTACTAAAAATAAGGAAGATGGGGGCGCCCGGGGGCTCCATTGGTTGACCCTCTGCCTTCGGCTCAGGTCATGATCCCAGGGTCCTGGGATCGAGCCCCGCATCGGGCTCTCAGCTCAGCGGGGAGCCTGTTTCTCCCCCTGCCTCTGCTGCTCCCCCTGCTTGTGCTCGCTTTCTCTCAAATAAATAAAATCTTAAAAATAAGTAAATAAAGGAGATGATCTGGTGACACGTGCACGGCCATTCAGTGGGGTAACGAGCAGGTTGTCACTAGTGTCATCTGGGGCCTGAGGGTGTGGGTCTTCCCCACGTGGCGTTTCCATTTTTTTCTGTTTGAGACTTCCTCATAAAATGTTGAAGAAAGAACGTAAGAGGCAAAAGCTAGTTTTCATTAAAAGAAAGGAAGCGGGGCTTCAAGAGACCGTCCGGTAAGCCTCTTGGTCGTCTACAGCGTGAACAGGGTCTGCCAGGACACGGGGCCTTGCGGTCCACCCCTTCCTGACCGTGGCCCGCGACGGCGAAGACGGGAAAACAGATGGAGAGAGCGGGCTGGGCGCACCCGCATGGCTCGGGCACAGGCCCGCTGTGGCCACGTGGTCTGTCCAGACGCCGTTGGACGTGAGCTTTTCTAGCTGGGCAACAGTTGGAAAAGTTTAAACACTTCGGGTCGTCCGCGTGCCGAAACCTGCCAGGGGCCCGCAGAGTGACTCTGACAGGCTGTCATGCACTCCCCGGCGACAACTGCGGACCCCCGTGAGAAGTCACCTCGCACGTGGCGGCCAGCGGCTGGGGGGCCAGGCGTCCCCGCCTCGGGTTCTCCTGAGGCCTGCGCAGCGTGTCAGGGAAACGGACCCGTGGACTCTCAAACCGCCCCAGGAACAAGGCCGTAGGATGGCCGAGGCTGCTGATGCCACAGACCACCTGGAGCACAGCTGGGATGGGGCGGGGACTTGGGGGAGGGGCTGGTGGGCAGGGGGAGCCCACGCAACAGCCTGGGAGCCGGTTCACGGGAACAGCCCGGGTGCAGGTGACACCATGATGGGGGAGTAAGCTGGGGCCTCTTCCCCACAGCGGATCCTCCGGGACAGTGGGACAGACGTGTGGCCTCCCGGAGGAGCAGGTATACCGTGTGGGGCCGCATTCGTGGTCTTCCGGGGCCTGTAAGGCCGGTCTGAGGACGTAGGCCAGGGTTGTGCTGGGAGGAGCTGCTCTGCGGGAGATGGCAGCCCGGCTCCCCACGACACAGTGCCCAAAACCCCCGGCGGGGCTAGGGAGTGGGGCCGAGCACTTGGGCAGCCCTCCGCAGTGCTGCAGCCCACCCGACCTCAGAGCCGCAGGGTGCGGGACCCTTTACAGAAGCCCTGAGCTGCGGGGCTGGGCCGGCGCTCCAGGAGCCCCATCTGGGGTTTCTAGCAGGTGAAACCTGGGCCGAGGCTGGTTCTGGAACTCACGTGTTCGCAGTTCTCTGGGGTTGGGTGTGTGGGCTCTTCCTGTGTGGGCTTCTGGAGGTCCTGCTGGTCAGTGATGGGCTCGGGAAGACCACTTGCCCCAGGCTCTTTCTAACCTGTGAGGCACACAGGTCCTAGCCCCAGGCGTGCTGGGAAGGCAGCCAGAGGAGCTCTGCCGACCAGGTGCCGCTGCGCGGGGTCTCACTGGACCACAGGTTCCAGCAAGGGGCAGGGCCCTGGGGCCTCTTTCCTTTCCGCACCACAAGGGAGTTCCCCAAGCCGATGGCCAGGGGGTGGAGCGCCTTCGGTGGGTCCCCTGCAAGACAGGACCTGGACAGGCCTCTCCATGTGGCTCCTTGCCAGGGGGCTGTGCTCCACAGGGCTGGGGTCTGCTGGTGGGACGGACAGAAGGAGATGAGCCAGGGGGGCGGGGGCGTGGACTGCTCTGGGGCTGGTCCTGGGTAGAGGCCGAGCAGCTGTTAGAGGGGAAAGGGGAGGGGGTGTTCTGGGGACCCCCGAGGGGCTGCTGCAGGTCAGATGGCACAGGCTGAGGGGAACACTGCCCTCTCCTGCTTTGCTGCCGTGGGAGCTGAAGAGGGGTCTTGGGGTCACCATGGGTCTACGTTTTCTCTCTTTGTCTTTTTAGATGGGAGAAATTGCAGCGAGCTGGTGTGCTGGCAGGAAGGAGTCCCTAGAGAGGAGTTGGGAGCGGCCCCCTTGAGTGGGCGGGCCTGGTTGGTGGCGGGAGGAGAGGGCCACCTGGGGGGGGTGGGGGGGGGGCGCGGGGGGGTGGGGGGGGGGGGGGGGGGGGGGGGGCCAGGGGTGGGGTCGGGGGCAGATGCGGCCACCCTCGGCGGGGCAGGGGGCCTCGTAGGCGTTCTTTTCCTTCCCAGGACGTGGCCAAGCTCAAGGGGGTCTGCCGGGGAATCAGAGGTGGCCCCCGGAGGCCCCTGGGTCCGCTGGGCCCCCTGCTGGGGCGCTGCGGCTCTGACGCTCGTCTCTCCCGCAGGGAAGAATCTCTACACAAATGAGTACGTGGCTATTAAACTGGTGAGTCCGGGACCTCCGTGTGCCTCCCGGCGGGTCCTGGCGGGCCACATCCGGGCTCAGACCGGCGGAGAGTCTCCTGGGGGGGGCACACACAGACGGGGGTGTCACCTGAGCTCAGACCGGCCCAGTGGGTCTCTTGGGGGGCGGTGTGCACACCATGGGGGGCGGGGGTCACCTGACCACATGTCCGCCTGCCCCTCCCAGGAGCCCATCAAGTCGCGGGCGCCCCAGCTGCACCTGGAGTACCGCTTCTACAAGCAGCTCAACGCCGCAGGTACGGCTGGCGCGGGGCGCGCGCAGTGCGGGGCGGTGCCCAGGGCGCCCCGCAGGCCCCACACGAGTCTGTGTTGCCCGCTCCAGAGGGCGTCCCTCAGGTCTACTACTTCGGTCCGTGTGGGAAGTACAATGCCATGGTGCTGGAGCTGCTCGGGCCGAGCCTGGAGGACCTGTTTGACCTGTGCGACCGCACGTTCACGCTCAAGACGGTGCTCATGATCGCCATCCAGCTGGTGCGGGCTAGGGGCGCTGGGGCAGGGCGGGGCCGGGGGGCGGGGCTGCGGGTGGCCCTGACCCCCACCCCCACCCCAGATCACGCGCATGGAGTACGTGCACACGAAGAGCCTCATCTACCGCGACGTGAAGCCCGAGAACTTCCTGGTGGGCCGGCCGGGCAGCAAGCGGCAGCACGCCATCCACATCATCGACTTCGGCCTGGCCAAGGAGTACATCGACCCCGAGACCAAGAAGCACATCCCGTACCGGGAGCACAAGAGCCTCACGGGCACGGCGCGCTACATGAGCATCAACACGCACCTGGGCAAGGGTGAGCGGCGTGCGGGCCGGGCAGGGGGGGCGCGCGGGCTGCGCTGACCTGCTCTCCCCCGCCCCCCCGCCCCCCCCGCAGAGCAGAGCCGCCGCGACGACCTGGAGGCGCTGGGCCACATGTTTATGTACTTCCTGCGCGGCAGCCTGCCCTGGCAGGGGCTAAAGGTGGGCGCGGCGGCGGGGCCGGGGGCCGGGGGCGCTGGGGGCTGGCGGCGCGGGCTCGGCTGACCGCTGTCCCCGCAGGCCGACACGCTCAAGGAGCGCTACCAGAAGATTGGGGACACCAAGCGGGCCACGCCCATCGAGGTGCTCTGCGAGAGCTTCCCAGGTGAGGGCCGCCCCCGCCCCGCGGCCCCGGGCCCGCTGACTGCCCCCCGCCCCACTAACCCCGCGCCCCCGCCGGCTCCCCACAGAGGAGATGGCCACGTACCTGCGCTACGTGCGGCGCCTGGACTTCTTCGAGAAGCCGGACTACGACTATCTGCGAAAGCTCTTCACCGACCTCTTTGACCGCAGCGGGTTCGTGTTCGACTATGAGTACGACTGGGCGGGGAAGCCCCTGGTACGTGGGCCCCGGCCCTAGAGTCCTGGTTCCTGCGGCGGGCGGGGCCCCCGGCGCATGGTGGGCGGGGCCCCGGGCAGTGGGGCGGGGGCAAGGGGCCTGGTGGGCGGCCTCAGCAGTGCGCCCCGCACCCCTTGCAGCCCACGCCCATCGGCACGGTCCACTCCGACCTGCCCTCGCAGCCTCAGCCTCGGGACAAAGCCCCGCCACACAGCAAAAACCAGGTGAGGGGCTGGGCCAACGACCCCGACATGGGGGGGTGGGGCAGGGCCCACCTGACCCACCTGCTGCGCCCCCACCCAGGCGTTGAACTCCACCAACGGGGAGCTGAACGCGGACGACCCCACGGCCGGGCACTCCAACGCCCCCATCACAGCGCCCGCGGAGGTGGAGGTGGCCGACGACACCAAGTAAGGCCCTGGGCAACAGCCGGGCATGGGGGCACCTCGGGCTCCCTTCCCACCCCGTGCCACATGTCCGTGTCCCCTCGCCCTCCCCGTGCAGGTGCTGCTGCTTCTTCAAGAGGAGGAAGAGAAAAGCAGTGCAGCGTCACAAGTGACCCCGGGGCCGAGGCGCCCCGACCCCTCCTGCCACAGCCCCCTGGGGCAGCCCGGCCCGCCGCGGCCGCGGCCAGGACGCAGACTGCAGGGCTGGCCGCAGCTGCCCGCCTGCCCCTCGCGGGCTCACTTCCTTCACACGAGACTTTGGCCGAAGTTTCTCCGCCTGTGTCTAGTCCTTCCCTCTGAGAGCAGTGACAGTGGAACAAGGAGAAGCGGCGGGGGCCGCCGCCCGCCGGAGTGAGTAGTCCGCCGCCCACGCCGCCGCCCTGTTAGTCTCATAAAGTCCAGCTTGTCTCCCTCGATCCAAAGGCCGTTTTCTCGAGGGGGCACCGTGGGCGTCGCTGTGGGGGGCGAGCCCGCCCTGGGCTTCTCTGCGCCACAGGGGAAGGCGGGGTGGGGGAGGCCCCGACCAAATGCTGCAGCAGAGCCTGGACCGGCGGGCACAGCCCCGCAGGGTCTTCTGCCGCTGCTCGTGGAGCCGAGTCCAGGGCCCAGCGCCCCAGGGGCGGCACCTGCTCGGCGCTTGGGCCGAGGTCTGTGCGCGGGCGTGCACGGGCTTTTCACGGCTGTGTTCCACGCCTCGGCGGAGCAGCGGGAGACAAGCGCCTTAAAGCCCTGTCCCAGCCCCGCGGGCGTGTCCAGGCCCGGCAGCCCTGGTGGGAGCCATCCCCCCAACCCCGCACGGAGGGCCTGCGCTGGCTCTCGGGCTGGAGCGGCGGGCCGGCCTGGCAGCCGGTGTGCGTCTAGGCCTTGCTTTACACCGTGTACAGAAACGGCACTTCGGTTTCTCTGACGCTTCCTGGAAGCCATAGAGTTTAGGGGCTTTTTTAAAAAAAATAAAGGAAAATGAAAGCAGTCCTGAGTGTGGTGTCCGGTGTTTCCAAGAGGCTTGGCTGGGGCAGCACAGGTGCGCCCGTCCCTAGGCGGGGCAGGCCCAGGGCGTGACCCCCTGCTCGCAAGACGAGGACGTCAGAGCTGCGGTCAGTGCTGGAGCTGGGCGAGGCTTCGTTTGGGGGCTGGGGACGCCGCTGTTGCCCTTGTCAGGATGAGTGTGGAGAACGGGCACGGGCTGGTCTCCTTGGGCCTGGCTTCACACAAACACGTTAGAAACCCCCCGCAAAGTGGCTGCTTGCAGGAGAAGTGGCGGGGGTGGGGCAGCTGCACTGGGTCCCTGTGCGCCTGACAAAGTGGGGGGCCCCGGGACAGCCTCACATGGTGCTTTGAATGCAGCACGGAGGAAAAAAGGTCTCGGTGGCTTCTGGGCTGCCCGTGTTCTCCCAGCGCTCATCATGTTGACACCCGCCGTGGCATGGGACGGTGTTAGGGACGGATCTTTGGATGTGGTGCGGATCGGTGAGGTCATGGTGTTGGGGGCGGGTCTCCCCCTGCTGGGCTAATGCCCTTGTGAGGGGTCTTGGAGGGATGTAGCCGAAAGCAAAGGGCGTGAATTCTTAGCAAAACCAGAATGTGACCCTGTCCACTGCAGACCAGGGAGCTCGGCCAGGGGACTCCCAGCCTGCCTGGACAGGTGACTTCGACGCCGGTGAGGATGGCGAGACACTCCCGACCGCATTCGAAGACTTCTGCGAAACGTCATCTTGGATCAGAAATTCAAAAACTAAAGACAGAAATGGACAGAACCAGAAGCGGAAACAGCTTGAATTCAGAAGGAAATGGAGGGGGAAGAGGACTTCAGGACGAGGAAGAGTGCGTAGGGCCCAGCGACCGTGAAAGGGCCCGGAAGCAGGGGACGGAGGGAGCACGAGGCGCGCCAGGAGGAAGACAGGCCGCCAGGGAGTGCCACGCCGGCAGAGCCTTTGAAGAAGCAAGTCGGAGCGAGCGTGGAAAGCCTCTGCTGGAGAGAACATTCCAGGTGGAGGGACAACGCCAACCCCCCACCCTGAACGGGCACCTGGGGGATGCAGAGAACAGCCACCGACAAGGCATCTTCTGGCGAGGCGACTGTTTCACCTGCCGGCCGGAGGCGACTCAATCGCGTGAGCGCAGGGTCCCTGCGCCGCCAGGCCGAGCTTCGTGCGGGGCTCGCAGAGCCCATGTGCGGCGCCGCGCCCTGTGCAGGCCCGTGGGGAGGATGGAGGGCAGTGACCGTGGGGGCCGCGGACACTGGAGAGAGAAGGCAGGTAGCGCAGCCAGACGCCCAGCCCCAGAGCGGATGCCACTGGCGCCCCGGGCTGTGGGGTCAGAGCCTGTGGCCCCGGGTACGGAGCGGGCGGGTCTGTGCAGGGATGGAGCTGCGGGCGCTGCTGGCCGCACAGTGGGGCCCGTTCCCGCCCACCCCGCTTCGGTGCCGTATCTGCTGTGTATTTCTGAGCAGAGTCATTGTGTCCTGGTCCCTGGTATATTTCCGTTACGTAATTGTGAGTACATGTTTCTGTGTGTGTGTTCCGTGTGCACGCGTGTGTGCGTGCTGCCTCCACCGCTCGCCGGGGAGGCCCGGGCTCGGCCTCTCCTTCCGGCCTGGGGAGGTGCTTTTAAAGGTGTTGCGAATGTGGGTTTTTGCAACAAAGTCTCAACATTTGTCGCCTGAGAACGTGTTGCCTGTGTTAGCGATGGCTGTTGGGAATGGGATTTCAGGTGGGCAGGTGGGTTCAGTTTTTTGTGGGGGCGTTTTGGGTTTTTTGCTCTCCAGCATTTTACAGATGTCATTTGGCTGATTCTGATGTGAGTCATCATTGCTCCCTTCCAGCTCCTGGACCTTTTTGTCTGGCCGCCCGCGACGCCGCATGTGAGCCGTGTGGCAGTGGCGGACAGTTGCCTCTGTCTTCGTCCTGCAGGACTTGCTGGCTCCTTAGATCTGGGGGTCGGTGTCTTGCACCAGCTCTGGCCGGTTTCCTGCTGTTAGCTCAGCAAGCGTGTTTTCCCGATGCCCCACCCCCAGGTTTCCAGTTCTCTTTGCGTCGGACCATCTTACCTGACCCCAGAGGGCTCTGATACTCTGCGGGGTTTTGTTTTATGGTTTTCTCCTCCTCCTTCTCTGTTTTTCTTTTGTGCTTCCAGTTTGGGTAATTTTGACATGTCTTTGGATTTACTAGTCCTGACTTTTAGTTGTGCTTTGTGTGCTCTTAGGCGGAGGGGCAGGCAGAGGGAGGAGCGGGCTCCCCGCTGAGCAGAGCGCCCAACATGGGGCTCCATCCCAGGACCCTGGGATCATGAATGACCCCAGCCGAAGGCAGACGCCCAACCGACTGAGCCACCCAGGCGCCCCTGACCTCTAGTTTCAACATCTGGGGCCCCCTAGTAGGTCTGCTTCTATAGGCTGTGGTGTTTTTTTCCCTCTTGGTTATAGATTTCATTTCCTCCTTCACGTTTCAGAATGGTTTTGCGTCGCAAACACTGTGCTTCAAGACCGCAGGGCCAGAGGGTGCTCCTTCCCAGACTGCCGGCCGGGCTGAGGCCTTGGTCAGGCTCATCAGGCTGTTCCCACTTGGGCTTTGGCTCGCCTCCAGTTCACAGGTCTTGAACTTTGTTCATGTCTTGAGCTTGCTTTTATTGCCAGCCCCGAGTTCTCGCAGGACTCTGATTCCCAAGCACCGAGAGACCACAGATTTCCACGCCCAGCCACCCTGCACCACCCGCCCAGCACTATGCACAATCCCCTGGGAGAAAACCTGCCATTTTCCAAGCTCCTCCAGGTTCCGGTGGGTTCTGCCGGTACACACGGGCGCCAGCCCCAGCCGGCTTCTCTCGGGCAGAGTGTGCCCTGCCCACGGCATGCCCAGCTCGGCACATGCTTCTGGGGGGCCACTTGTTGGCCTCCGCCCGCCGGGCAGTGTCTCTTCCTGCCACCCAGCCCCTCTAGGTTCCTCGGCATCCATGTCCCTTTGATAGGTTTTCTTTCAACTTTAACTTTAGGTTGTCCACTGTGGCCCGATGGCGTGCGGACAAGAGGACGTTGATGCGCCCCCCGCCCCAGGCCAGGGTGACTAACACACCCCTCAGCTCCCAGAGTTGATGGCGTGCGCATGGTGAGGACACGGGGCCCTTTGTAGTAGCTCTACCGGCCTGCGCTGTCATCACTGGGCTGCACAGTGCACCCCGAGAACACGCATATCTTCTAAGATGCGCGCCAACCAGCATCCGCCCAGTTCGCCCAGCCCTGGCCACCAGGGTACTCTCTGATCCCAAGGGAGCGGCTGTAGTTCAGATGCCACGTGTAAGACCACGTACAGCCTCTGTGCGTGATGTCATGCGTTGCTGCAAATGGCAGAACTTTCCCTTTGAAAGGAAAAGAGGCTGATACTGCACAGTGCACACCACGTTTTCTTCCTTCTTTCACTCATGACGCTTCATTTCCGTGTCGCCAGTGAGGCTGCGCTGAACGTGGCCGTGCAGGTGGTCTGTGCCGTAACCAGAAAACCCCTCGTGCTGTGTCCTCACGATCTGTAGGGTGTGTAGTGCTGTCTCCTTTTCAGTCTGGACATCGCTCTTGGATTTTTATGTTTAAAAAAAAGAAAGTTTTTGGTTTTTGCTAGGATTCCAGCAAGAAACCAGCTAATGGTTTTGTTAGTATTTCATAGGTTTTCTGCATCAATTTTGGTCTCAGTATGTTGTTTCCCACTTTGGGGATCAAATTTGCTGTTCACTTTCTAGTTTAAGGTGAAAACTTAGACCTTTGGTTTTTCTACCTGTGCATAAAATATAAATTTCCCCAATTCCACTTTGACGGGATCTTACGATTTTGTTATAGTATGATCAGAGTATCATTCAGTTCAAAATATTTCCTCGTTTCCATGTGGCTTTTTAGCCTGTGTTTATGGAAGCATGCTTTGGTCCCCCTGGATTGGTTTCCAGTCTGACTGCCCTGCCATGGGAGGGCTGCGTCCCTTGGTGCTGGCCGGGTGCAGTCCTGCTCGCAGATGGGGCGTGTCGGTGTTCCTTTCCAGCTCGGGTTAGGGTCTCCCCGTTGTGTTCTGCTGACTGCATCTCCACATGTATTCCGCACGCGCTCCCGTGCGCACCCATAGCCGCTCCTCTTTCCTGCCGTGCCCCCCCCCCCCCCGCCCGTCGCTGCGACATGGGCTTTGCTTCCAGGGCCACTTGCTGCCCTTAGGTCTTTGCCGTCTTTCTGGTAAGGTCGGGGTCTGCGTAGTGAAACTTACTAGCTTTTATCTTCAGTTTTTCTGTTTCTTTGTAATTTAAGTGAGACTCTTGGAATCAGGAACTAGTTTAGTTTCCGTTTCCTACCCAGTCTGACAGTCTTCCTCTTTTAACTGGAGCGCAGAGATCTGTGTGTGTTTAACATAATTGACATAGTTTTGGTCCCGTCTTGCTGTTTGAGTTCATTTGTCTGTCAGTTTTGAAGGGTGCATTTTCTAGTTCGGTAGCTCTTTCTTCTATATGGATTTTTTTAAAAGATTTATTTATGTTAGAGAGTGAGAGCGTGTGCTGACGAGTTAGGGGCGGGCCAGAGGCAGGGAGACAATGTCAGGCAGAAGCCGCACTGAGCACAGAGCCCGAGGCAGGACTCGATCGCACAACCCCAAGGTCATGACCTGAGCCAAAACCAAGAATCAGATGCTTAAATGGCTGAGCCGAGGTGCCCCTCTCCTGCTTTTTTTTCCTTTGGTTTCTAGCAGTTTGAGTATGTGTGGTTTTTAAATCTTACTGAGTTTCTCAGATTTTTAAATGCAGGGATTGATGTATTTATTCATTCTGGAAAATTCTTAGCTCTTGGGCCCTTCTCTTTCTGCCTGTTCTTAGGGATCATCTGACCCATGGGGCAGAGCCAAGCGCGGGACCCAGGTCAGGTTACCTGCGCTACATGGCACAGCCTAGGGACCTACTGTGTGCCAGCCACGCTCCAGGGCCAGAGGGCAGAGACGACAAGGCGTGGTCACGGTGCACTCGGCAGAGCCTCCCTAGGGTCCCCAGAGGGACACACCAGAAGTTCGTGCAGAAGACAGAGGGCATGGGGAGGGTGCCCAAGGCAGGGACATGTGTGTCAGGAGACTGTGATTCCAGACATGGGCAGAACCTTCCCCGGGGCGCCCAGTCTTTCGGTGGGGACGCGGCCGCAGAGAAGGGCCAGCTCTCAAAGCAGCTGGGCTCCTGGGCCGCCTCCAGCAGGAAGAAGCCCGCGGGTCAGGGCCATTACGTTTCTTTCCTTTATTTAAAAAAATCATGTGGGGGTACGGTGTGAGGAGGGCACACCTTCCATGGCTTTGGGGAGGACAGTTTCCAGAAGGAATCACAGGGCGGGAACATGTGGTGGGGGTGCAGCAGGGTTTGGGGGCAGGGCTCCGCCCTCCCGCACCTCTGGGCAGGGTGCTTGCTCGGAGGTGGCTGCAGGGGGGGCGGGGCTGCGGTATGTACAGGGTGGGGGATGGGCCAGCCGGGGACCTGGCCGCCACAGCGGACCCACGGCATCACCCGAGCAGATGGCGCCTGTGGTCTGTGCCCGTGGCTGCAGGGGCAGGACGGCTGCGGGGGGCCTGGCAGAGCGCCGGCCTGTAGGACCTCAAGGGGGGACCAAGGCCAGTGCGCTGGGGCCCGGGGTGGCCTGAGCATCCCGTGACCAGACCAGAACACGAGACCCCAAAGCCGATGCACTAGGGGCGCCCCCGCCGAATGCCTCCCACGCGAGGAATGGGAACCCAGAATTCATCGCCGTGTGCGGGGGGACAGAACAAACATGAGACGGGGTCCTGGCCGAAGCCCGTGGTAAGGACATTGGTCAGGCCGCCCCGAGCTGCAGGGACAGCGTGCAGGACTCCCACGCCCCAGGACCTGGCGGCCCCTCCGCTCAGGGCGGGTGCAGGCCGGCCCTGCCTCCTGACACCCGCAGGAGGGCCTCCCGGCTCCTGCCCGGCTCCTCTGAGCAGGCAGCCAGGCTCCCCTCAGGGTGACCCTCTTCTGACGCCCAGAAACGTGGCAGGGAGCGTGCCCACAGCGTGGGGGCCGCGGGGGGCACGGCCTGGGACGGGGGGCGGCCTGCTGGCCTCAGGTGGCTTCGGGGGCCTGGGGGCCTAGGTGTAGAAGATGACCTCGGGGATCTGGCCGTCCTCCACGGACGTGCCGTTGTTGTTCCCGGCCGCGTAGCAGAAGGTGAAGCACGTCTTGGCCCCCGTCGTGGGGGACTCGTGGGTCACCTTGCGCAGGCCCTTGGTGCCATAGTGGGAGTCCGGGCCCTGGGGGTGGATGGGGTTCCGGCAGTCAGGCACCCCGGGGCCCCAGCAGGGCCCCTCCCAAGGGAGTGGGTCCTACTGGAGACCTCGGGGTGGCAGACCCCCGCCCGGGGCAATGACCACGATGACCCTAGAGCCCCACAAGGGGGGGGTCGGGGCCCTGACGGGGTCTGGGGTCTGGGAGGAGCACCTTGAGCGTGGCGCAGGCCGTGTAGTTGACGTTGGGCAGCACCTCCACCGGCTCCTTGAACATGACTCGGAAGGTGCTGGCGGAGCCGTCACAGCTGAAGCCCGTGTCGTTCTGGCCCAGGACGGTGTTGCTGTCCGTGTGGATGATCTGGGGGGGGGGGGGGGGGGGCCGCCCCCCAGGCCCCCCCGTCCCCCCCCCAAGACCCCACGGAGGCCCAGAGTCGGCCCGTGCCCCCACGAGCAGGCTGATGGGGGGGGCGGGCCAAGGGGCGGGCACCTGGATGTTCACTTGGTAATCCGTGGGCCCGTGGATGGAGCCGTAGAGCCCAAAGCCAACCACGAAGATGCGCTTGTTGACCGAGAACCTGGGCGGTGAACAGAGCAGGTGCCAAGCTGCGGCCGCGTCCCCCGCCGGCCCCGCCCCCGGCCCGCCGGCCCCGCCCCCGCCGGCCCACCTGATGCGGTCGCTTGTCCCGCTGTAGCCCCAGCGGCTCTCCACCTGCTGGAAGCGGTTGATGCTGCACTCCTTCCCGCGGAGGCAGCAGCGCGGCCGGTCGATGAAGTCCACGCGCGGCTTGGGGTTGACGGTGAAGTGCAGGAAGAGGCTGACCACCTCGCGGTCCACGAGGATGCCGGACTGCGCGGGCCCTGCGGGCACAGGGGGCGGAGGTCGGGCCGCGGCGGGGGCCCTCAGAGGTGAGGACACCCGGGGGGGGGGTCCGGGCAGCCCTGGCATCTGCGGGGGCGTCCGATCCGCTGGCTCCCGGGGCCACAGGCCCCTCCCGCACCCCCCCCCCCCCGTCGCCCGGCAAGCAGCGGCCCTGGGGGGCAGCCCTGGTTCTCCGAGCCGCGGCCGCCCCGCCCAGGCTCATGAGGGGCCGCTGTCTGCCCCAGCCGGCAGGGGGCCCGGCCCGGCAACCTAGAGACGGGGTGGGGGCGGCGAGCCGCCTGGCTCCATCCGCGCGCCGGGGAGCTGGTCTCCGCGGGCTGGTGACAGGCCTGTGCGCGGCCCTCGGACCGCGGGGACCGCTCTGGGGGAGTAAGGAAGATACAACGTGAACAGAGTTGACACGGTTCTTTTTAATCTCTGCGTAGGAAATGCAGGAGGAAAAGGACATCAGGCCGCAGCCGCGGTGGGCTCGGCTGCCAAGTCGCCGGGCGCGGTGTTTCCCGACTTGTCTCTAGTCTCGTGTTTTCCGGTGGGACACAGAAGCAGGGGCGGTCCTTCTCTAAAACGCGCTGAGCCACAGAGGGCCAGAAGGCCGGACCCGACCCCAGGGTGCAGACACAGATCATTCCCAGGGACCGCAGGCATCAGGCAGAGCAGGGCGGCCTGGGGGAGCCTCACAAGAGCGGGGGGTACAGGAAGCAGCGAGACCCCACACCCAGGGGAGTGGGCGGCACTAGCTGGGGTTGCCGCCCAGGGGTTCCAGCGGCCCGGTGGGCAGGGGGACCTCCAGGAGAGCAGTTTTAGGGGTGTGAGCCAAGCCGCAGCGGGAGGGACCCCCACAAGGCTCCCGCGGGTGTGGGGATGGGACAAGTCCTGGCCCCCTGACCGCCCCCGCCTGACAACAGCCTGGTGCCATCCAGAGCGCCCAGGTCCCCGTGGTCACCATGTACTGCCGGTGCCTGGCACACGAGAGGCACTCACTATGCCTCTGATGATGGGCGATCTGGGCTCGGACGTCACAGCTAGCCCTGAACCCCACGTTCAAGACAACTACTCCGCAGGAGACGGCGGTCCTGGCTTGCGCGTGCGCGACACGTGTGCTAACAGTTCTTTACCGCAGCTGCTCGATCTGGCAAGCCAAGCAGGGAGCGGGGCACACAGAGACCTGGGGCCGCGATCGGCACTAGCTACGTGGCTGGGACCGGGAGCCTCACCCGGGACCCACCAGCCCCGGAGGGGAGGCCGGCAGCTCGGTGTCCACCCGTCCACATGTCCACACGGTGGGGCTGCCTCCACGTCGGCGCAAGCCCAGCCTCCTCCCGCCCGGTGCAGGCTTGTCCAGGACGTGAACCCGAGCCGGGGGCCGCGGCGGCCCAGCCCGCACACAGACGCGCACACGGACACGCGGGACACGGGGGGAGGGAGCCCAGATGCCCGGCGGGTGCCGCCCAGGGGGCGTTGGTCTTTACACACCGGCACGCGGGCCACGCTGTCCACGTGAACCCGGCCAGGGCGTCCTCGGTGGGGAAGCACCCCCCACCCCAGCTCCCGCAGCTGGCTCAGGTTCACACCTGGGGACCCGGGGGGTCGTGCTCCTGTCGAGCGGCCCCCACCCCCTCCCCATTACCTGCGGCAAACTCCTCGATGGTCATGAGCGGGAAGCGGATGAGGGCCAGAGCCTTGCCCAGCACCTCGCGCTTGTTCTCGGGCGTCACGGGCAGCTGCCGCCGCTGGCACTCGGCCTCGGACCAGCGGACCACGGCGCTGAACAGGCGCACCTCCCGGACGCCCAGGGTGTCCCGCTCCAGCACGGCCACCAGCGTGTCTGTGAGGGGAGGGCACCGGCTCGGCAGGGGGTCGCCGTGCCGCCCTCCCCGGCCACTGCGGCCACGAGCCCCGGCGACCAGGGCCTTACCCAGGTCGATGTCTGTGAAGCCCTCGGCGGTGATGGCGTCCGCCGTGTGCTTGTCGATGTTCTCCAGGCACAGGCTGGCCAGCTGCGGCTCGTCGAAGAGTCGCGCCTGGTGAGAGGCCGGGCCTCAGCGCACGGCCGTCGCGGAAACCCTGGATGCCCCTCGGGCCCAGACGCAGGCCTGACTTCCACGTCTCGCGGCCACAGGGGCCGCACAGACTCGGGCTCTACGAGGCCCGAGCCTCCAAGGCAGACATGGGGCCCGCGGGCGGGAAGGCGGGGAGGTCCGGGCAGAGGGCCCCACGCGGCCAGCGGACAGGGAAGCCTTGCCCTTCGGGCCAGCCAAGACTGCTCCATCAGGAACCTGCTCGCAGGGCGCGGGAACCGGAGCCAAAAAATGTTCCGGCTCCTCCTGCCCAGCACAAGCCCTGCACCCGGTACGTGCTTTCCCTGCCTGGGGCCTGGTCGGCACAACCCGCAGGGCTACGGCTCTCGGTGCCACCCGAAAGGCCTGGCTCTGGCCCTGCCACAGCCCACGGGAGGCTGAGACCAGGCCAGCCAGGGAGGGGGCGGCCCTGTCCCCTACCCACCTGGGTCCACATCCTTCCCTGCCTCCAGTCCCTGTGGCCACGCCAGCCACACCCCCACGCCTGGGACCACAGACCCTGAAAGGGACCTGCTCCAAGAAACTCTTATGATGGTAACAGCCCCTCTCCCCACACCTGACCCCTGAAAAAGGGCATCAAAACGCAGCTGGGAAATCTCTGGCCAGACACGTGCCAGGCACCTTGCCTGAAAGGTCCAGGCCAGGATGAACCTAGGAAAGCTCGCCTTCAGCCACAAAATTTAAGGGACGTCCAACACTCAGAGGTCCACCCTCAGCCACGTCCTCCCCTAACCCTCACACGCCTGCCTTCTCACCCAGCCCTCCCGCGTCCCACACACCCTCCTCGCCGCGCACCCACGCCCACCCGTGTCCCACCCCCGCCCCCGCCCCCCTCCCTCCTCAGCGACTCCCCCGGACCGCGCCTTCGCCCCCCCCACCCCCATGCGCCTTAGTGTCGCCTGGTCCCAGCGTCCCCGCCCACCCAAGTCCTCGCACCGTCCCAGCGCCCTCACCTGCCCTCCCCAACAGCACACCTGCGCCCAGTCTCAGGGTCCCGGCCCCGCCCCCGCGCACCAGCGTTCTCACCCGCCTCCCGCCGCATCCGCGCCCTAACCCGCCCGCACGGTGTCCTCGCCTAACCCCTGCGCCCCCGCGTCCTTACCTTCCCGCCGCCCTCTCCGCGCCGCGCCCTAGCCCCACACCCGCGTCCTCGTCTGGTCCCCGCGCCCAGGCCTTCGCCGGAAGGCACCCGCACACCGGCCTTCTGATCCGGCCTCCCGCCGCAGCCCCCGTGCACCCGCGCCCTCTCCCGGCCTCCCTCTCCCCTGCGCTCCCGCGGCCTCTCCCGAGCACCCGCTTCTCGGCGGCCCCGTGAGCCTTCCTCTTCGCCTCGTCCCATCATCCTCACCGGCCCTCCCCCATCCCGCCCTCGCGCACCTCGCCCTTCCCTGGCCCGCCCCCGCCCCCGCCCCGCCCCGCCCCGCGCCCCGCACACCCGAGCCCCCGCCCCGCGCGCACCTGCGTCAGCAGCATGAACGCGTTGTCCGCCCGCAGGTTTTTCTTGAGGAACTCCACGCAGTGGGCCTCGAGCGCGGGCACCGCGTACTTCTTGGCCGTGTACAGCGTGGTCATGACCGTCTCGGGTCCGATCTGAACCTCATCCGAGTACAGAAACCTAAGACAGGACACTAGGACCGTCAGCCCGGCAGGCAGCAGCGCTCCAGCCCCAGGAGCCTTCCGGAACGAGCAGGTGTCGTCGCCCTGTGACCTGCACATAGGACCTGCCCAAGACCCTTACCCGCCTGGACCAGCCAGGGGCTACCGCACCCACAGTCCAGCCCCTCCGTCCCCGGGGGGCACCAGCGCGGAAGCCCCCCAACTCTGCCCGAGGTCCCCGCAGCCGGGTCTGCCCTGGGGCGGACAGAGCTTTGGGCACCGGGCCTCGCGCCCACCTCCGCACTCTGAACGTGAACGTGCGGCCTGCGGTGCGGCCTGCGGCATGGAGAGGTGGGAACCGGCCGCAGCCTGCCCGATGCACAGGGACGCAGCCCCAAGAGCCAGGCCTGGGGGGCTGTGCCCGAGCGCAGCCCCCCACCCCCATCCCCCGAGAATGTGCCAGAAGCTGAAGAGCCCCACGCACGAGCAGCTGTGGTCCCACAGGGTCAGCCCCGGACCGAGGGGTGCAGGCGCGTGGAGGCCCCCAGGCCAGCAGAGGGGGGTGAGGGCACCTGAACCCACCCGGCCAGCAGCGAGGTCCTGGCGAACCTCTGGGGGGGGGGGCAGCTCTGCAGCAGTAGTGGGACCACCAGCCCCAGCAGCACCGCCCCTGCCGCCTTCTAGGCCGGGGTCCCGCACACTGGAACCCACCACCTGTTCCCGTTTTCTCTCCGACAGGTCTTTGGGTTTTTTTCTAATTACGATAAACTTCACCCAGCAAGAGGGGGCCAGGTGGGCTCAGTCAGAAGAGCGCAAGCAACTCCTGATCTCAGGGTCGTGAGCTCGAGCCCCACGTCAGAGCTGGAAGTGACTTAACTGGGGGGTGTCGGGGGGCTCAGACGCTAAGCAGCTGCCCTCCGCTCAGGTCACGGTCCCGGGGTCCTGGGATCGAGCCCCGCGTGGGGCTCCCTGCTCCGCGAGGCCTGCCTCTCCCTCTCCCCCTCCCCCTGTTTGTGTTCCCTTTCTCGCTGTGTCTCTCTGTGTCAAATAAAAAAGCAGAAATTACTTAACTAGGGATACCTGGGGGGCTCAGTCAGTTAAGCCGCCGCCTTCAGCCCATGTCACGATCCCAGGGTCCTGGGATCCAGCCCCGCATCGGGCTCCCTGCTCGGTGGGAAGCCTGCTTCTCCCTCTCCTCCCCACTCATGCTCTTTCTTGCTCTCTAACAAATAAAATCTTTTAAAAAAAGAAATTACTTAGATAAAACTTTAAACAGATGCACAGCATAAATTACACCACTGTAAGATTTTTAGGTGTACACTTCAGTGGCGGGAGGCACACTCCCCCGTCCTGCAACCACCCACTCTCCGTCTCCAGAACCTTCGATCCCCCAACACGGAGACTCTGTCCCCATGAAGCATGGACTCCCCACGCCCTGCCCCAGCCCCGGCTCCCACCCTCTCCTGTGCGGACGGGACTCCTCTGGGGCCCTCCTGGGTGGGGACCTGCAGGACGGGTCCTTCTGGGTCTGGCCGCTCTCCCTGAGCCCCGTGTCCTCGGGGTCCCTCCGCGTTAACATTCTAGCGTGTGGACAGACACGTGGTGTTTCCCCTGCACCCACGGCGGACACTCGCATTGTGAACACGGGTACACAGGTCACGTCAGAGTCCCTGCTCTCGGTTCCCGCACAGACATCCTGCAGCTCAACTGCTGGGTCACATGGTGGCTCCATGTGGAAACCTCCTGAGGGGCCTCCGGCGCGTCTTGCACGGACACAGCCAGGTCTCGCGTTCCCACTGGGCCTGCACGGAGGTCCCACCCCCCACCCCCCACCCCCCACTAATTCTTGTCAGCTCTCTTGTGTTTTTCTGTGTTTTTCGTAATAGTTACCCAGGTACGGAGTGATAGCTCATCATGGTTTTGTCACCTGCTTTTGTAAATAAGGTTTTATTGGCACACAGCCCCCCCCCCATGGCTGCTTTTACACTCCCAGCGGTGGGGGGAGTGGTGGAGACGGAGAGACAGAGCCCACTGGCCCCTGGGCTAAGTAATCTGAGAAGTTACACGATGACAAATCCATGAGATTGTTCCCCAGAGCGCGACTTGCCATCGGGGAAGACGCTGGGACTGGCGAAGGACAAACCGTGTCAGAGTCAAGGATTAAGGGGCATCCAGGGACCCGGCGTCCGTGAGCGGCGGGCAGCGGGAGAGAGTAGGGGTGGCCCCGAGGGGCAGAGGGGCTGCGGGCTGGAGCTCGGCCAGCACTCGCGTGGCCTTGGACACAGCAGATGGGGGCCACTTGCTCTGTCCTTCACACTTGCTGGAACTTTCATTTTTTTCTTTTCCTTCCCTCCTTCCCCACCCCTGTATCTCCCTGTGTGACTCTGTGCCATCTTAACATTGGTACAGAGAAAACGAACTGCATTTAAAAAGGCGCCCTAGGGGGACGCCTGGGTGGCTCAGTTGGTTAAGCAGCTGCCTTCGGCTCAGGTCATGATCCCAGCGTCCTGGGATCGAGTCCCACATCAGGCTCCTTGCTTGGCGGGGAGCCTGCTTCTCCCTCTGCCTCTGCCTGCCATTCTGTCTGCCTGTGCTCGCTCTCTCTCTCTCTCTCTCTCTCTCTGACAAATAAATAAATAAATAATCTTTAAAAAAAAAAAAAAAAAAAAAGGCGCCCTAGGGGCGCCTGGGGGGCTCAGCAGGTTAGCCTCTGCCTTAGGCTCAGGTCATGATCTCAGGGTCCTAGGATCGAGCCCCGCGTCAGGCTCTCTGCTCGGCAGGGAGCCTGCTTCCCCCCCTCTGCCTACTTGTGATCTCTGTCGAATAAATAAATAAAATCTTTAAAAAAAAAAAAAGGCGCTCTAACTGTTGGGAAGTCTGGAAAGTTCCACACCGTGATCTACACCTGCATTTCTGGAAGTGAGAGACCTGTGCTCAGCAGAGGGAGAAGAGCCCGGGCAGCCCACAGCCCCGCTTCACCCCTGCTGGGGGCGGGCAGCCCCGCGCCGGGCACTCAGTGCTCCGAGGCGAACGCACTTGAGAGGGAATTCCCAGGCTCACGGAGCAAACGCTAGAGGCGGGACGGAAGGTTCTCCCATTAGCTTGCTCTTCCACAAGCCTGTTGACTGCCAAGCGTGAGAACGGGGACATGGACACAGCCCTGGAGCCCACAACGCACAGGGAGGGGACCAGACGCAGGAGGCCCCACGGGGTGTGAGGCCACGCATGTGACACGCCCAGACCAGGCCCCTCCACGCACGGAAGGGGGCTCTGGGGGCGCGGTCGTCGGGGGGCTCCGCGCCGCCCCACCCCCGCCCCGCCGGGAAGGGTCCCGGAGTCTTACTTGAGCAGCGCCAGGAAGGCGGCGGGCTCCACGTCGGGCAGCTCGATCTCGGTGGACGTGGTGGCCATGCCGCCGTTGAACATGGCGTCGAAGACGGCGCTGCCCACGGCCAGCACGAACCTGGCGGCACAGAAGAGCCCGGTCACGCTCCACGCCGCCCCGCCTCTGCCCGTCGCCCGAGCCTGGGCTGTCGGGGGCCCAGCTGTCCCCACAGGAGCTGCTGCGGAAGCAGAGGCTTCCCAAAGGGAGGAGTGGAGGAGGGAGGCTATGCAGCCCACGCAGCGGCAAGTCAGTGCCCTGAGGCTCTGTCCCCCCGTCCCCCCCACACCCCCACTCGGGCTGTCAGGGTCCCTCCGTCCCCCCCACACGCCCCCGCTCGGGCTGTGGGCACTAGGGTCCCGACCGTCTCGGAGGGAGGCAGATACAGGTCGGTGCATGGACGGCCTGACTGTGGGGCTGTGGTGGGAGCGAGGGTCCAGGAAGGCTTGCAGGGACATGGGAGTGGAGTTGAGGCTGCAGGGAGGGGTGCTGGGGCCCAGGGACCGGCAGGAGCACGGGGCGGCGTCAGGAGGCGGGAGCCGTGAGGCTGAAGGGTTCATCCAGTGTGACGTGACCACGGGGGACCCACCTGCCCGCAACTTCTCAGCATAAAGACTGGAAGGCCCACTGGGTGAGGACAAGCAGCGAGGCACTCCCCGCCGTCCTCCAAGCTGTGACCCCCAACCGGAGCAGTCCACAGGGCCGCCGCTCTGCGCTGTCCGCTCCCAGCCTCCAGGGCTCACCCCGCAGCCCATCCGCTGCAGAGCACCTGACCCAGGTCCGCAAGGCCCCCGCATCACACCCAGTCCTGGGGTCCCCATCGCGATGCATGTGGGGCTCAGAGTGGCCCCCACATCCTCCTTCCAGCCTCTGCCTGCCCACGGCCCCCTCACGAATCCCAGGCTGGGCAGCCCCCGACTCTTTACGGGGAGAAGGACCTCCTTCCCCAGCTCCTACCTTCCCCTCCCCTGGGCCACACCTCCCAGGCCCTCGTAGGGGCCACCATGCGACACAGGGCTTGAGCCCATCCAGAGACTGGACCCGAGACAGAGGACCAGATGCGAAACCGAGTCTAATGGGGAGAACAGCGTCCCTCAAAAGTCAGGTCCCCCCGGAAGCCGGAACGGGACCTCACTTGGAAATCGTCTTCGTGGATGTGACTGGTTCACGTGAGGTCACAGGGGCGCAGGGTGGCCCTAGTCCCACACCTGTGTCCTTGTAAGAGAGGACTTTGGGACACAGACACTGGGAGAAGCCAGGTGGTGAGAGGCAGACATGGGAGGGGCATGGCCACGACGCTGGGGACACCTGGAGCACCCAGGAGCTAGGAGAGGGGGGAGGGACCTCCTCGTCACACCCTGACCTCGGATGTCTGGCCCCCAGGATGGGGACAGGAAACATGTCTGTGGTCCTGCTGCCTGCAGGCTTGGCTTCCGCAGCGGCCGGCCTCGGACACGTCCCCGACGACGGCGGCAGCCCCGGGCCCTCACTGCGCTCCCGCACCCTGTAACCAGCGCCTTCCTGCTCCCATGTCCCAGCTGTGCACAAGCACCTCAGTCCCGGCCGGGAGACAGTCGGACGCCGCAGCGAGAGGCCACGGACGGCGCCTCGTGTGTTCACGCCGTGTGCCCGACACCTGCGGCCCCGGACCTCACGCGCCCTCACCAGCACGCACGGCCACCAAGCCTGCGCCCTAGAGAGGCCACCGGGTCTGAGGAGGGTCGACCCGTCTCCCGTCCCCGGGCTCAGATGCCTTCACGCCTCCAGCCCCTCGTCACTGCGCCGGCCTCCCTTCTCCAAGCGCCAATCTGCCCCCCAGGAGGACGCCACCTCGGCCCGCACAGACGGCTGGGGTGAGCCACACGGACCATGGTGAGATGTGACACCGACATGGGGACGTGCGTCCGCACAGCCGGTGGGAATGCGGGTCACACGGTCGCCGTGGAGACGGTCCGGTGGACCCTCTGCAGGCTGGACACAAGCTACCATGGGACCCAGCAGTTTCACGCCTGCTGCACACATGTCCACACACGCTGCACACCTGTGTTCACAGAGCGTGGGTCACAGCGGCCAGAAGGGGAAGCGCCCCAGTGTCCTCAGTGTGTGAAGGACACACATGGCATGGTCCGTTCCCATACGGGAACACGGTCCAGCCTCAGGAAGGGAGGGACCCTGACTCCTGCCACGACGCGGAGGGACCCCGAGGACACGGGGCTCAGCGAGAGCGGCCAGACCCAGAAGGCCCCGTCTCGCAGGACCCCACTCCCGGGAGGGCCGCAGAGGAGTCCCGTCCACGCAGACGGAGAGGAGGTGGTGGGAGCCGGGGCTGGGGCAGGGCTGGGGTTCCGTGCTTTGTGGAGACGAAGTCTCCGTGTGGGGGGATGGAAAGTTCTGGAGCCGGAGGGTGAGGGTGTGAGTGCTTCCCACTGCAGAGCCGTGCGCGCAGACGGTGAGGGGGTTGACCCTCGTGCTGTGCGCGTTCTACCCCAGTTGAAAAGCTTTAAAGAAGACAGAACACGGACAAGACCCCCGGATGGCGCGGGAACGCCTGTTTTGGGAAAGGGGGTGCAGGCCAAGAGAGCCGCACACAAAGGCGAGGCGCCACTCAAGGAGCCGGGCCTCCCGAGGGGCCGCACCTCTGCGCATCCTGTCTCACTCCTGAGCAGAGCCGCGGGTCCTGGGGTTGTGCCATGAAGCAGGCGTGTCATGGAAGGGGTGTGCCGGGTTCTCCTCCGAGGACAAAGGGGCATCAGTGCGGTGGGGGACGGATTCTGGGGTGCTGACCTGGGGGTACCTGTGCTTCGGGCAGGTGGACGCAGACACAGGACTAAAGCAGGGTGGGGCAGCTCGTCCCCTGGGAAGGGCTCCATGCTTGGACACCCTGGTGGCGAGGGGATGCCCAGCGCCCGGAGCCCGGTGTCCGCGTCCCACACCGACAAATGGGACCAGCTCCTGGGAGACGTGGTGGATTCCAGGGCCGGAGCGGGGAAAGTACGAGACACACTCGGAGTGTCTCGTGGGGACAGGAAGCAGAGAAAGGCTCCGAGCGGGACAGGGACGTGGGACGGGGTCGCGGAACAGGGGATGTGGGACGGCCAAATCCGGGGTGCTGTGAGCCTCAACAGAGTACGCGTGCGGGACATGACACGTATCCACGTCCACAGAGACAGAAGGAGCACAGAACTGAGTGAGCGGGTACCAGGAGGACGGCACGGCTCCTCCCTCTCTCACGGAAAACCACCGCGCGGCATCTGGTGGGTGTCCTCGCCCCCAACGCGACAGCCAGTGGGCAGCACGGAGAAGACACGGGGTGTGTGCAGAGCCGCAGTGTCCCCTGGGGAGAGCCCCTAGAGTGGACAGTGCTCCCGGCCAGCAGCCCTGGGAAGGACGCAGGCACTGCCGGGCATCCAAGGACGCAGCGGGAGCGGCTGGGGGGTGAGGAAGGCACAGGCCACAAGCAGAGCCGCGGGAAGCCGGCACGATGGGTGTCCCGATGAGGCTCTCGCCGGACAGCACGCTTCCTGGGCTCTGGGGGCAGGGGCGCCAGCAACGGGGCACAGTTGGCGACCGGCGGCCCTGGCAACGGGCTCCCCGGACACAGAAACCGACACTGACGGAGAGACAACCGGACGGACAACCAGAGCTGACCTTCAGGCTGTTGTAGGAGGCCGGTGGGGCGGAGCGGCACGCAGACCGCGGTACGGCTGGCCTGACCGAACCAAATCGGGGGGCCTCCACGCGCACACGCCACGGTCGCGCGACGGGCGCACGGCGGGGGCTGGCAGCAGCCAGGGCGCACTCCGAACAAGGAGTCCGATGACCCAGAGCCACAGCAACGCTGAGAAAGGGCCACACGCTGGGAAAAGAGCAGCGCTGGAAGCAACGCACGGGCAGAGGACGGCAGCCGCGGCCGGCGAGCAAGGCCCCCCTGGCCGGCCTGGGAGGAGACCACCACCCGCCACGGGGATGGGCGCCGCCAGGACCAAGTGTCGCGAGTCCATGAGGCCAAGCCCGGGACTCGGCGGGGGGAGCTCCCATCCCCGGCGTCCAGCGAGCACAGAGTGGACCCAACCCAAGGCGAGAAGCAGGCGGGCAAGGGGACGGCAGGACCTCGTGAGCCCGCCGCCCCCGGAGGAGAGGCACACCCCCGGAGTCAGCCGCCAGGCGGGCAGTCGCCGCGGACCCTCAAGATGAAGTTCGGAACGGTTTTACACCAACCAACGAGGGCAGCTCAGACGGAGAACAAGCCGCTGAGGACACACACAAGCACAGGGGAGCCCCTGCGAACCCCTCGCTGAAGGGAAAGCATGGTGACCCCCGGCCCCCCGGCAGACCAGAGGGAGCAGCGAAGCCGTGAGGCCGAGATCACGGGGGCAGATGGTGCAGATGCGCCGGGAAGCAGGCTGGCGATTTCCTTCTCTATGAAAGATTTTATTTATTTGAGAGAGCGTGCACAAGCAGGGGGGCGGCAGAGAGAGCCCGACAAGCAGACTTCACCCAGCAGGGAGCCTGACAGGGATCGATCCAGGTCCCGGGGATCACGACCCAAGTGGAACAATGGAGACCCCCGGGGAGCCCCAGGCTGGCGCTTTCTCCAACTGTCTAATGTCAGGGCTCCCCCGCAATCCCAGCCGTCCACTCCCAGGTCCACCCCAGAGGAAAGAACCCGTGTCTCCACCCGCAGACTCGCGCCCGGCCACGCAGAAGCCAGGGCAGCTGGACGCCTGCAGCACGGATGCAGCCCGCGGCATGGATGCAGCGCCGTCCACCCATGCACGGAATTCAGGGGCTGCGGGAGTTACCCTGGCCATAACCATACTGAGCTGGGGCACTGAGGGGCTCCGCTGGTTAAGCCTCAGGCTGATTTCGGCTCCCGTCTGGGGTCATGGGATCGAGCCCCGCCTCGGGCTGCACAGGGAGCGAGGAGCGTGCTGGGGGCTCTCCCTCTCCCTCGGCCGTCCATAAATAAACAAATAAAATTAAAACTGAAAACAAGTAACAGAGCTGTCGCTGGGTGTTCCTCGGCGAATGCTGCCCGGGGCTGCCAACGTCCTTTCTCCTCCTGATCCTCAGAACACGGC